TGTTGTACTATTTATGTGCATACTTTGAGGTATCCTCGTAATAACCTCATATCCTTACATACACACTAACGCTATTGAAAATATACAAATTATTTAGATGGGCTTAGTATAAATAACGAGTTGACAAATTACCACCTTCTAGAATCTGACTCATTTTCTTGGATAGAGCACATTTACTGTAAAATATGAAAATATCTAGTAAATAATTGTTTGATAATGTGCATATGCTTTTCGACACCTTGGTTTTGTTTCTTGATTTCCATGTATCTTACAGATCTTTCAACATCGGTGTCCACATTGCAACCTTGCAACCAAAACATGTAAATATCAATGTTGTACTGAAAAGTTACTTGGCTGAGAAGGAATTACATACAACATAAACTCGCACACAACCATCAAACACTCTTTCCAAGTTTTGTACCACAGTGTAAGGCCTGCTTATCGCTAATGAGAGGGCACACACGAAACACACACAGGCGGTTCTTTCACTGTTCGTAGGGGTAGACAAGACAATAGTACTGGAAATGAAATACATGTACACCAAATATCGAGTTAATGCCCCTGGCTTTAATACCTCTCAAAATAATTACACGAAACACAGAAAGATACAATGAATAAAGTTACTAAAATAGGGGATTGCACAAGGAAGTGTGCATTGGTGATAATTCACAGTCCCTGGATGTAGAAATGGATGACAGTCAATGGCTTCTGCAACACAACAACGAAGAAATACAGGAGTCTTGCTTGCAGAGAAACGCTGTTGTTCTGGAGGGCACCGCTGAAAGCAAGAGATCGCAGAGCAGTTCATACAAGTCTCACAGAATGATGGTTGTAGCCTGTATCACTTGTCTCACAATATCGTAGCAGCAACACACAGGATACTAAGTTAAAATGATGGACCTCAACTGTCCTCAGTCTGTCCAATTTATAGGCATAAATGGTCCAGATTCAGTTACACCACCTGGTTTTCCACATGAGCAGCTGTGTCACGTAGGCAACTCAGTAGACCATAAACATCGTCTGTTATTCAAATAACAGCACACCTGGTAGATTCCAATTCTCCTTCTAAAATTGTAAACATCCTTTGTTGTGTAAATCACAAGCACACCTGGTAGATTTCAATTCTCCTTCTAAAATTGTAAACATCCTTTGTTATGTATATCACAAGCACACCTGGTAGATTCCAACTGTCCTTCCAGAGTTGAAAACAAGTATGACCTGACAATCACCTTTATGGCAGTTATCACACCGCAATGCACACCGTTTCTTCCCATGATTCCATGCACACTTATATTTGCAGGGTTTGAGGTAATATGACACAAACACAGAATAAAGGATGCTGACGTTTTGAAATTAATGATCTTTACAAACATTCATTGTGTCTTTAATCATGGGTTAATCAACAGTATGTTTACATAAGCTCAGTTACCTCAGAGAAAACAAATTTCCTTTGGTGCCGCAGTGGCAACACTTCTTTTGTTGTAGATGTAATCCGCATTGATTAGATACTATGCATCAACATAAGTGTTAACTGTCTTGGCTGTAATGCGGATTCTGTTACTGAAAGAGCTGCAATACGTAAAAGGTGCTAAAATAACTAATACGTTAATCTAAACTAATAGTATAGATTTGGTAACCGTCTTGTCGGGAGCACACTGTTTTATCTAGCGGAGTGTTTGCCCGCTTCCAATGGCATGCAATGGTTTGAATACCCAGGCTAATGTTGTTATTCATTGATTTATGTTTCGTTTTTTCACATGTCGTATAGTTAATGCATTAAAAAATTGCGAATTTGGCTCAAAACATAAATTAACAGAACCTTAATTTAGCTGAAGAACCAACAACAGTCTCATTGTGGGAATATTTTTTTTTGTAAATGAGCTTAATTTTGAATTGGCGAAATTACGGATTAGCTAAAATAGCATTTAAGCTAAAAGAGTGCGTTTTATAGTAAACGTGGGTGGCATCGATATGGTTATTTGAGTGATATAATCAGTTTATAGATGATGACTTCTAGTATGTTTTGTATGTAATGTTATATAAAGAGTTTAAGGTGTCGTATAAATCGTGCGTGTCGCCTTCATACACAATCTAACTTACATATTGTCTCAAAGCATATAAATGTATGTTATTATTTAAGAATTAAAAACGCTGTACTCAGTTTATTCATTAGTCAATCCATTGACACAGCAATTAACCAATTAGCGATCACATTGCATTTGGTGATTTCCTGTATTAATAAGAGACAAGCCATTGTGTTACTGGGCATAATTCTTCACTGCTAAATTTAAAGCAGCTTGGCAGAAGGTTTCAGATTGTTGGGAGGATTGAGTGTATAAGTAGCTAACACCACGGGACAACGTGGAATTGTTTCGGGCTACGCTCTCACAACACCTTTCTTTCACGTGATGTTTCCCATACGTATACAGCACGGAAAATCCACTGATAAATTGTCGAATTTTGCTTCTGGCTGTTGTACTCGTGTATGTAAATTCTACACATATAGCCTGTTGTCCACCTGGAAAATAAAACATTAGTATATGCAGAGATGTGGGGTGATGTACAATGAATCTACCAATAATGAATGAGTCAATTATCATATCAGTGTTGGCGGAGTTGGGTTTTATCATCACACCACGTACGTGAGTGAAACAAACATAATGAAGAGGTAGGGTCATCGTAACATCTATGATATTAAAATGATATTGGACAAAGAATGCAAAAATTTAACCATTCTAAAGGAAATAAAGACGGACGTGACGACAAAACAAAACAACCTGCCAAGATTCAATGCATGACAAGCATTTGAGTAAGAAAGTAAGTTATTGGGAATGTTACAATTAGTTGGATACCTTCGACAGAATCGCGAAAACGAATCAACATGCACGCTATACATGCAACATTGTCTTTGTACCAAACTTGATTTGGATTTATTTCGTGTAAAACAAACTTCAAGTATTGCGGTCAATGTGTGTATTTTTTGCAGGCCTGGATGGAACAACTGTAAATATACACCAAATAACCTCGAATAGTCCGCGATGCAGTAGCAGGGACCATACATCTTCATGGTGGGACAATAAAATGAAAAGACGGTGTCTTTAAATTATAGATTTATATCTTCTACCCGATGGATTGTACAAAATGAGGTTTAAGAATATCGCTTCTGGTGTCTAAAGTGCATCGTTTGCAGTGATAACTATTACTAAGTTCAAGTTATTTTACTTAAATTTCCTTTTCAAAAGTAACTTGTCCTTTTGTGTATCACACAAAGTTGGCATGCGATTACTCAGCGTTAGTCTATAGAGAGAAATAATAAGAAAGAAATATAAATATATATTCATTCAATAATAATAACAATTAATTTAATAATAATTAATTTTGGGCCATCGTTGGTGACTTGGGTACGTGTTATGTATAGAAATATAAATAGTCGTATCATCAATTATGGAAATATTTCCCAGAAATTT